TCCATCCTTCCCTCTCTCCATCCTCCCTCCAAATCCTCCGAATTCCACTTCTCTCCCTGGCTCTGCACACCTTTAACCCCTGGGCTGTATTTTAGGAATCTCCTAAAAGGTTTTAAGGAGCATTCCAAGCCCAAAAATGCAGATTTTTGTCATTTCCCGAGGTCCAAATGCCGGATTTGGAGGTGCAGATCCCTCCCCGTGGCTCTCCCATCCCTGGATTTACGGAATGGCAGAAGGGGCTGCCCAAAACAGAGCTTAACAAAGCCTGAGCTGCCCTGTCTGGAGAGGGATTTCCCTGCCACCACCTGGGCTAAAAATTGGCATTTAAAGGGAAAACTGCACATCAGGGCCCAGCCAGGAAATTCCCAGGGTTGGGATTGCCCAGGCTGGCACGGTTTTGTCTGGGATTGAGGAATCACAGCCAGGGAAAAATCCCTAAAATCCCTGCTTGGGATGGAACCAGCAGCAACACCAAGCAATTCTCGTTAACTTTGGTCAACTGCTTTACTGGGAGACAGAGATTTCAACAGGCAACATCGATTCCCAGCCAGTCCTGTGGGTGCTCAGCTCAGCATTCCTGCTTTTCCCAGCCTCTGGAGTGGAGGGGGAAATCCACTCAGCATCCTAGAATTTCCTTGGGATGCCCGGCAGCCGTCGGAGCTGGAATCCAGAGCCTCTTCCTGGCTGGATCTCAGCCTTTGCAGTCCCAATCCGAGCCTGGAATTTTGGCTGGGTGAATTCTCAGTGCAGGGAGATGAATCCGAGTCCAATTTTTCCTTCTTGTCCCAGTGGTGGCTTCCTGGAGTCTCCCATTCCTGTTTTAATTTTGTCATTTTTTTAAAAAAATTCCTTCTTTAAGCCCCTCTGAAATTGGATTTGTTGACACCTCTGTTTTTAGGCAGAGCTGGCCCAAATTAAGGATTCTGGGAAAGGTTCCCTTTTTCCCAAAGAGGCAAACAGGGTGACAAATCCACCCCAAAAGCACGCGGGATATGGGAAAACACGGAATTTGCACCTCACAGCTGAGACAAGCACCAGGCTGGGGCTGCAAGTGAACACCAGAGTAGTAAAAAAAGCTTTTCAGGCTGGGGCAGAGCTCGTCCCTCCCATGGGTTTGTCTCCTTGGGCTGGGTCCTGCAGGGTTTGGCTCTTTTTTGTGGGGAAAAGGGATCAATCCCGTCCCACGAATGCTCCGAGCTGGCTGTGGTGGGATGGGTGTGGAACATGCTGCTCCCTGAACTCCTCAGTCCCCGTCCCCCCACGGAATTCACTGTACAGAGTTAAAAAAAAAAAGTCAAATTTAGCAGTCTGGTTATCTCATACATGGCTTCAGTAAGGCAGAAAACCTATGGATACAGTGAGGGCGGGGGCAGCTGGCTGCAGAATTCCCGGAGAATTCCTCGTTTTCTTCATTTTCCTTAAAAAACATTTAATCAGTTAAAGACCCATGTCTTGTATGAAAGCTTTTGTTCCTCAAAACCAAAAAAAAAAAAGCTGTTTTTAATTTCTTCCTCCCTTCCAACCACGTGGTCCAATCTTCCAATCCTCTCCCCATGGTGCTGCCCCGAAGTGGGATTGGTGTTGTTCCCGTGGGATTGGTGTTGTTCCCATGGATTTGGTGTTCTTCCCATAGGATTTGGTGTTGTTCCCATGGATTTTGTGTTGTTCCCATGGATTTGGTGTTGTTCCCATAGGATTTGGTGTTGTTCCCATGGGATTGGTGTTGTTCCCATGGGATTGGTGTTGTTCCCATGGATTTGGTGTTGTTCCCATGGGATTGGTGTTGTTCCCATAGGATTTGGTGTTGTTCCCATGGGATTGGTGTTGTTCTCATAGGATTTGGTGTTGTTCCCATGGGATTGGTGTTGTTCCCATAGGATTTGGTGTTGTTCCCATGGGATTGGTGTTGTTCCCATGGGATTGGTGTTGTTCCCATGGGATTTTGTGTTGTTCCCATAGGATTTGGTGTTGTTCCCATGGGATTTGGTGTTGTTCCCATGGGATTTGGTGTTGTTCCCATGGATTTGGTGTTGTTCCCATGGGATTTGGTGTTGTTCCCATGGGATTTGCGTTGTTCCCATGGGATGGGGAGGATCCAAGGTCAGAGCTCCAGGGAGCTGATCAGGGCCACCATCAGCAGGGAGTTGGTGGTGATGACCACGATGTGTGGCGCTGGCCTCATCCCCGAGTCCTCCACCATCATGCTCGTCCCTGGAAAAAAAACAGGGAATAGGGAATTAAGGAAGGTTTTGTAGGGGTTTTGGTGTGTTTGGTGCTGGTGAAACTCCTGGGAGTGCAGGGAGCAGGAATTTGGGGGGTGGGTGCTGGGAGTTTGCCCCTGGATTTGGGGAATTCGATGGAGCTGCGGCCCCACAGAAATGGGGTTTCACTCTTGGTGGAAAACTTAAATGGTTTTTAGGTCGTAACTCTTGGAAAGTTGGGTATTGTGGGGTCTGGAGGCTGCAGATCCTAAAGCTGGGTCAGGCTGGAATGTGATTGGGGAGAGGAGTGGGGAGAAGGAGAAGAGTCAGGAATTCCTATGAGTGAACAGCACAAGGGAACCCAAGGCTGATTCCAGGAGAAAACAATTCCAGAAATGACCAATTCCAGAAATGACCAATTCCAGAGTTTGAACCTAAAACCCTGCAGGAGGACACTCCCCCTGGAAGGGGGAGTGGGTGTGGTCAGAGGAGTGGGTGTGGTCAGGTAATCACATGGATGGGTGTGATCAGAGGCACACATTGGTGGGTGTGGTCAGTGGAGTGGTTGTGGTCAATGGTATGGGTGTGGCTAGTAGAGTGGGTGTGGTCAATGGAGTGGGTGTGGTCAATGGAGTGGGTGTGGTCAGAGTGGCAGGTGTTGGCCATAGGAGACAGTGGATATGGGTGTGGTCAGTGGAATGGATGTGGTCTAGGTGGGTGTGGTCAGAGGAGCACATGGATGGGTGTGGTCAGTTGAAGGGGGTGTGGTCAGCAGGGTGGGTGTGGCCAGAGGAGCACAGGTACCGCTGTTCCTGAGGATGTGAACTTCTGCTGGAGTCCCGTCCCCGCCGGGCCCGGTGACCCGGATCTGGACGAAAGCGTGAGTGAAATCCTCAGGGATGGGGATGTCGATCTGGCTCTTGCTGGCCAGGTACAGGGTGGGGGCCGAGTGGGAATCCTGCCTGTAGAGCATCTGTGGGGAGAGGGAATGCTGAGCTCCCATTCCTTGTGATTTCCTTGGATCACCTCCTGGAGAATCCCAGCCTCGCTGGCCTCACCTTGTACCCCGTCACCGCCGACTCGTCTGCCTTGGCCACCACGGGGTCCCACTTGATGCTGACTGTGGAGCCAGAAAAGGTCCAGGAGATGTTCCCAGGTGGCCTTTTTGGTGCTGAGGGATGCAAAACCAGACAGGATTGGGTAAATCAAGGAGGGAGGAGAAGGCTGTGCTGGTCTCAGCCATCCCCGGTGAGCTGTCACCACTGTGGGGCGTTCAGGGGACCAAGATCAAAGTTTGGGTGATTTTGGGGGATCCTGTGGAAAGCAGAGGGGTCAGGGCTCACTCACGAGGTCTCGTGGTGGTGACGTTGGTGGCAGGGCTTGGGGGACCGGTCCCTGCCCGGTTGTAGGCTCGCACTGACACGTGGTAGTCGGTGTTGGGGTTCAGGCCGGTGACATGGGCCGATGTCACCAGCCCCGCTGTCCTCACTCTGTCAGCCGCCTCCTCCTTGTCCCCGTCCTTCCAGTACCGGATCTGCGTGGAAAAGGACAGGATGGGTTTTGGAAGGAGAGATCTGCAAATCCCAAATCAGCACACCCTGAAGGAACTTTGGGTGTTTGTTTCCGTGTGTTTTGCTTTGTGTGCGCCCAGGAATGAGGCCACGGCCTCCTCGGAAAGGCAGGCAGGAGAAATGGGATGATTCCCTTTAATCTCTCCTGAGAGAGCAGTGCCAGCCCCATTAGAACCACGTGGTGTGAGAATTATCCCCCAACCTCTGGAATCAAAACACCGTTTCCTTTCACCTCACATAACCCGGGGGAATTTTCCTTGCTGGGCTCTCGGGGTCTCCCGTTCCCATTGGAATCTCCTACCTCGTATCCCAAAAGCACTCCGGTCATTTCTCCCTGCTCCACGGGCTCCCAGGACACATCCATCTCCGAGGACAGGACAGACTTGGCAATGACTCTGTAAGGAGCCGCTTTGGGTTCTGAAAGAGAGGAATAAAATCCTTTTCCTGACTTTGGGCCCTGTCAGGAACAAAAGGTTTTCCCAGAGCGTCATCCCCTGGCAGACAGCTGGTGTGAGGGATTTGGGGACTTAGGGGGACAAGCAGGGCCACAGCTGTGAGCTCTGGGATCTGTGTCTGCCCTGAGGCTGTGGGGCAGCCGGGGCTGGGCTTAGGGGATCCTCACTCGGAGGGTTTGGAGGAGTAGAGGAGCCAAAGGAACGTCTGAGCTCCTGGATGGACACGGATCTGCTGAGGTCTGGCTGAGGAAAGGCGGTGGGTTGGACAAAACTGGGAATTCTGACTGTGTGCTGTCGTGGAATGGTTTGGGTGGAAGGGACCTTAAGGTTCATCCAGTGCCACCCCTGCCATGGCAGGGACATTTCCCACTGTCCCAGTCTGCTCCAAGCCCCATCCAGCTTGACCTTGGACATTCCCAGGGATCCAGGGGCAGCCACAGCTTCTCTGAGAATTCCATCCCAGCNATCCACAGTTGGATTTTGGTGATCCTTCCAACTCAAGATGTTCCATGGATCCCATAAGTATTCAATATTTAGATATTTAGAATTTATTTGCAACAGACACAGTTTGTAAATTAATATTTTCGGCCACTTTGGAGCCCGGATTAGGAATTCAGGATGGGATTCTTGGGGTCGTCCACGGTTTTTCCTTTTACCAGAATGACACAAAAATTCTTTGATACCGAAAAGCATGGGGATGGAAGGAAATCATTTTATTTATTTAAATGAAAAACCAAACCAGGCACTTCCCAGAGCTGATTCCCAGAGGGTTTTTTTTTTCACCTCCTGAACATGGAAAAATCGGGAATGACCCATCACAGCGGGCTGGGAGTTAATGGTCCAGAGCTGCCCCATCTGCAGGAGCCTCTCTGCTCTTTGTCATGGAAATTTCGGTGTCTTGGGCCCAGCTGGGATTCCCAAATCCAGCGGGATGAAAGCTCCAGCTCTGCTGGGGGGGTCAGGGCGGGAGCCAAAAATCTCCTTCATCTTTGGATTGCGGGGTTTTGTCATTTCTGAGGGGAGCCAGATGCTCGGAGCCGGGAAAATGAATCCATAATTGGAGTTTTTATTTGGAGACCGAGGGCTGGGATGGCCACTGGGGTCCAGCTGTCACAAAGGCCTTTAATGGGGTTTTTTTTTTAGGGTTCTCTTTGATTTTTGAAGGGACATTAAGGATTGGGGGATGTTTATCATAATAGGAGAAGGAAGGGGGAAGGAATGAAAAAGGAATAGCAGAGGTTGGTGCAAGTAGGGAAGTAAAAACCCTTTTTATGCCTCATTTTCCCCTCTCTCCCTGCAAAACAATCTTTTCCTAATTGCTGCCCATGAATTCCCACCATAAAGAGCAGAAATTTAGGAAAAAATGTTTCTGTCTGCTCTGAGCTTTGGGACCTTTGGGATCACCAGGGGCTGGGGCTGGCCAGGGCTCCTTCCTTCTCTCTGTCCTTCAAACTT